CTGTGGATGTACAGCTCTCTGTTGTTGGGCAGGTCGTAGTTGATGATGAGCGACACCTGGGGCACGTCCAGCCCCCGCGCCCACACGTCCGTGGAAATGAGCACGCGGCTGCAGAAAGAAAGGCATCTGAGACGGTCCCCTCGGCACCAAGGGCAAGACGGCCGCCGGCGCGCCCGGCCCCTCCCCGGCCCTTCTGCAGCCCGGAGCATCAGGGACACACTGGAAAGCGAGCCGTGTGGCAGGTGCATTTGGTACATGTATTTACTTGGGTCATGTGTGATTTAAAAAAAAGGAAAAAAGGCATTTAGTCTATTACACTAAATTTGTTTAGAGCCCGTCCCACGCCAGTAACTGGAAAGGACATTTTACTTCTGCCCAGCAAAAAACTCAAGTACAACAGCCTCACTGATTTCCGTGCAGTGTTTATAGTGTCTTCAAATTAGAACTGCAACTCCCCACGCTCCCACCTCAGGAAACAAGAACAATCTCAGACCACCTCACCTTGCTCCTAAAGCAGCTGGAGGAAGAACAAACTCCAAAAGTTAATTAAAGAAAGAAAGAAATCATAAAGATCAGAGCAGAATGAAATAGAGACAAAAACCCCCAGAAAAGATGAATGAAACTAAAAGCTGATTCCTTGAAAAGCTAAACAACATTGATAAACCTTCAGCCAGACTCACGAAGAAAACAAGGGAGAGGGTCCAAATCAATAAAATCAGGAACGAGAGAGAAGCTACAGCTGACACTGCAGAAAGTCAAAGGACCATGAGAGACTCTTACAGCAACCTAGAAGGAACGGACAACTTCTTAGAAAAGTACAACCTCCCAAGAATGAAGCAGAAGAAACAGAAAATATGAACAGACCAAGTGAAACTAAATCGGTACCTTAAAACCTGCCAACAAACAAAGTCCAGGACCAGACGGCTTCACAGGCGAATTCTACCAAACGTTTACAGAAGAGTTAACACCTATCCTTCTGAAACTATTCCAAAAGAGTGCAGAGGAAGGAACACTTCTGAAATCATTCTGTGAGGCCACCATCAATCATCCTGATACCAAAACCAGACAAAAATATCACAAAAGAAGAAAATTACAGGCCCAAATCACTTATGAATGTAGATGCAAAAATCTTCAGCAAAACACTAGCAGGTTGACTCCAACAATACACACACCACCATTAAAAGAAAAACAAAACCCAGCTATATGCTGCTGCCTGTGTGAAATCCACCTAAAGCTTGAGCCTACAAACCAGATGTGAAGGGAGGAAGCCGGCGTGGCCGCGCCAGACACAGCGGGACTCAGGACAGAGCATTAGGAGGTAAGGGCAGGCACATCCACAGGGACAGCCAAGTCCCCAGAAATCCAGTCATTCTAACCTCGTATGCACGCAGTCTCAGGACACACAAAGCAAGAGCGGTCAGAACCCCCACGAGGAAAACCAGCACCCTCAACACTGACGAGACAGAGTTAAGGAAAAAAGGCAAGGATGCAGAAGATCTGATCAACACCGCTTAGCAACTGAAATCCAAAAGGCACGGCCTGGCGCAGGGCACCAGTGCTGCTCAGGGAACATCTATAAACTGACCCGGTGCCGGGCCACGGGCAAGTCTGAACATGCTGACAGGGTGAAATCACTCAAAGACTGCTCTTCAGCCACAGGGGGATTAAGCTAAAACCAATACAAAAAGAGAAGTAGAAAATCCCCATTTATTTGGAAACAGAGAAATACACTTCTAAATGCAGCAACCGACTACACTTCTAAATGCAGCAACCGACCTACCTAGTTAAGGCTAGGTCTCACCCCAGCCTAACCTGTCACACCAGGGGGGGGCCATCTGCTTGACGCCCTGAGCTCAGCTGGCGGGGTGGGGGGTGCAGCGGGGGAGACTCGGGGATGCCCCGCATGCGCTGGCCAGCGGCAGCGGCACCTGCGCAGAGCGTGCAGCTGGCCCACCTGGCACCTGACCGGAACTCCTTCATGATGGATTCCCGCTCCTTCTGGGGCATGTCCCCGTGCATGGACGACACGGTGAAGTTGGCTTCCCTCATCTTCTCTGTCAGCCAGTCAACCTACGGATCAAATCAGCACATGCTGCTGTGAACTCGTGAACCAAACCAGAGACTGTGCTCAGGAGATCACGTCAATTATTTGCAAAACCGATATGGGTACTCGTAAAGCAAGTGCTCTCAACACTTAGACTAACCGTCTTAAGATTACTTACGAACTTACTTAATTTTACCCAGCAAATCTTGGGGCAAAAATTCTCAAAAAAAAAGACAGTATGTCACTGTTCTCATTTGAAAGTTAGATTCGAATCTTTTTTTAATGTGAGCCAACTCCTCTTCCTTTTCCAAGGAGAGCTGCCAGGGTTCTCAGCTCTGCCTGCCGTCAGCGTCACCTGGGAGCACAGAACCCAGACCTGGGTCCCACCTGAACCAGTGACCCAGAGCCCTCAGTCGCGGGCCCAGATCAGTACTGCACACACTTTCCCAGGACATGGTCACTTGTCCACCCATCGTCCATGGCAACTTTGAGCTCAAAGGCAGAGCCAAGCGGCCGCTGCAGAGACCGTGTACCCAGAGCCTGAAGTGCGCACTCCTGGGCCCCGAAAGAAACCGCCTGACCTAAGTTCTGCGAGAACCTGTCTTCGTTTTGGCCACAAGAACATTAGAGCTGGGATG